ATAGTGATTACTTCATTACTATTATATTATTAAATATATAAAAAATATCATTTTAATTATTATTTGATAGAATTTAAAAAATTTGATTTCGATAAATGAATAGATATTTTCTGAAATTATTATATATATTAATATTACAATACAAATGCCATTGTTGAAAGAAAAAATTGAAGTAAATAACAATCTTCAATCAAAGGAATTATGAAAGTTATATTTTAAGATGTGTAAATCAAGATTCATTGATACGCAAAACGATATAATTTTTAATTACAAAAATATCATTAATATAAAAAGAACAATGAAACAATTCCATAATAAAGAAGTAAGTTCATTCTTAAATCTACAAAAACCATAAAAGCAAAATAATAAAATCTGATACAAAATCTATAATAATATACAAATATTGATATAGTACAAATATTAAAAACTATTATAAATATGATAAATTATAATATTATGTTGCAAAATCATGTATGAACAAACATGAATTGAAATTGAAAAAGAGAATATAAATCAATTTTAAATATTGAAGCTTGTTTCAATTTGTACAATGTTAAATTTTTTTCTTTTGATATTTAATCTTTGATGAAAAGAAAATGATTAGAAAAATTTAGAAAAATATAAAAAATTATAAAATGAATTTATAATTTCAAAATAGGGCAGAATTAAAAAATGTTATAATTTCTGCGAATTAATGAGTTCAGAAATTTTGCAAAAATTCATTAAGAATATGCATTTTTCAATTAATTACAAATAATAGTGGTTTTACGGTATTAATATCTTTATATAATAAAATGTCTTAATAGCGACTAATTTATGATATAAAAAATTATCTTTTCATTCTAAAGACATATTACTAAAATTAAATATAATTATTTCATTATTTGAAAATTAAATATATTATTTAATTATTTAAATATTTTTTGAAGTCAAAAATATATTAAAAAATATTGAAATAATTAAATATTTGCGAGCATAGATATAGATTGTTGTCTTCGATATATTTTATATTGAAATATTTTATATTGAATATATTTTTTATTCTATATATTTTATATTTTATATTATATTCTCTATTTTTATAAGAAAAATATAATAATTGAAATACCAAAAATCAATAAAATGATTACTGAAAATGATGTCGATGCTTCGTTACAAGAATTTTCCGAACAAGAACATTCTTCCCAATATAATCCATTTTCATAAACTCCCCACTTACAAACATCCGTAATTGCAGTACTAGATACTGAAACACATCGATGGATCACTTGGCGGATCTACTGTTCCCTTTAAAAATTAATTTGAATAAAAAAATTCATTAAAATAATACACAAATTAATAATCAAATGAACGCAAACGATATAAGGAGCTAAATAAGATATTTAAAAAAAAGAGAACTTATAAATAAAACCACGAAGATTTTAATGTGTTATTTTATACAGAATGTTATTTTATTTTATTGTGTTAAGATTATGCAGATAACAACAGATAAAAATTATTTTTCTATTTATATTTTTTCATAAGTAATAGCACATTAATTAAAATTTTTTAAAATAATTTGTTTTAATGTTTATCATGATTTTTTTATCCTATGTAATTGATTTTTTGTATTCCTATTCAAAAATTTAAACTAATAAAAATATGTATTAAATCATTTTATGTCAGAAAAAAAAATTGTATTAAACTTGCACATATTTTATACAAAATTTTATACAAAAAAAATCAATTCGCAAGATTTAGCGAATTAATATAAAAAAAAAGTAATAAAATTTGAAAATTTCCAATAAAAACAGTTTGAGACCACTATTTCTTAATGAAAATAAATTCAATATACATCAATTAATTGGTTTGAAAAAAAATATAACATTATAATCAAATTTAAAAAACTTTAAATTAATAGTTTTTATCTTTATTTATGTTAAACAAGGAGGTAGTGGAGTCTGTATATAAACATGCATGTTTTCATCTGATTTTTTTTTTTTTTTTGACTAGAAAGTGTTTATTGAAAACTTAATATATACAGAAACTTATTGAAATATTATAAAAAATAATTTTTTAAAAATGCAGAAAAATTAAATTTGCCGCCTAAATTTTATTTCCAGAAGAATATAATGTTGTCATATGGATTGTGTATAATATAGTATACACTTTTTCCAGATCTTTAATTTTCATTTTATCGATTTGAAATGAATGAAAACAAAAACGTTCAAAAACATTCAAAAACGTTCAAATAAAATTGAATGAAATAAAATCATTAATCAATTAACAAAAAATCATTCAATATAAAATAAATTAAGAGAAATTATAAATACATAAAATAAAATATAGAAATATGTTACGAAATATTAATATATTTAATTATAATTAATATAATAACACAATAATATATAATATAAAAGTGCCAATACTTTTGTATGATATTACAAAAGAAATTTGTATTTTCAAAAATAATTGATATGTTATTTTTGAAATTCATTTTTGAATTTTTTATTTTTTGAATTATTTTAAATTATTAAAAAGCCAATAATGAAACAATATAATAAAAATGAATATTAATGTGGAAATAATATAGTATAACAAGATGGTCAAAAAAGATACTTATCTTCTAACTATTTCTCTCGTTTGATAATATTTTGAAAGTTTGATCTATTATCTATCTATTATAAATCTATCTATCTATAAATATATCTATTATCTATTTACAGCTAATAAGATTTCAATCGAATTTTTCAATTCATGAAAATTAGCAACAATAGACAGTAAGATTCAAAATCAGTAGTCTAAGAAACATAACAAAAAATAAATGAATAAATGAAATTTCTTCTTCGATATTAAACTTCATTCAGTTTGAAAGAATTTAAAATTATAAACTATATATACAACTATAAATTATTAACAATAATTTAATTAGCTTGATCAATAATTCATGCTATTAAATCAAAATGCAACAATATTATTAAAAAATATTTGTTTTTTAAACACAATCTTATACAAAAAGAAAAAAATGGAAAAAATATTTATAATCTTAATGTTACATATTAAATCATGTATTATTTCCACACTAATTGTCTATTTTATTTACCCGTGTATCTTTTTCACGATTATGACTTATTGCCCTTGTTACTCAAAATCTAAATTACATATGTATATATAGTGCATAATATGTATTTTTAACAACTATTTTCCTTTTTTCTTCTTCAATTTTCTTATTATTATAATTTCATATAATTAATTTTTAGTTCTCTAAATTTTGTCAATCGTCAATATTCTTCTTTTTAAATTTTTTCATTTCTATTAAATACATATATATATATACTGTATCTCTATCTTTTACTGTATCTATATCTTTATACTTTATACTTATACTTTATACTTCAATTTGTACTTATACTTTATGCTCTTGTGATTTATTAAGAGTTTTGCTACTTCTATCCAACAAAAATTTATAATTGCAATTCAGTATCAATTACAATGAACAAATAATTTGTTCCTCAAATGCATATTGAACTATAATTACAACTCGTGCCGTAACAGATTTATTAATCACATGATTAAATTCGTTCCACATGCTATATTCCAAAATAATGATAAACATGTATATAAAACATAAAAAAAACTAAGATTCAATAAATATATTAACGAATAAGTATATTCGTCGCTGCTAAGCATTATTCTTATTTATCTTTTATTACGTGTAAAGATATTTTTGCAAAATAAATTTAAATAATAAATTTCGAATAATAAATAGTATTAGTATAATAGTATTTATAAACACATATTTGATATTATTAGAATGAGATTCAAAGGATATATCTGGCAAAAACTGTGGAGAAAAGAGATATCTGTGTAGTATTCTAAGATATGCATTAGCTACGACTCATATCAGAAATAAAAAACATTTGTTCATATAAATGTATCATGAGCGACTGAAACCATATAAAAATATCATCCATATCAGTTTGAGAGTTACAAAAAAACTAAAAAAGAAATTATATTTTGCCAATGATTATAAATGGCAAATAAAATTAAATGTGTGATGAAAATTAATAATTCAAATACGTTAATGATGGTAGATCGATAAAGATCAATGATGATAAATTCAAGATGATTTATTTTTTACTTATTTTTTACTCTTACTCCGGTTTTGTCAATATAAATATATTATGTTAACAGATATAAGAAAAATATGTATTACTCAAGTTAGAATTAAGGATTATAGATTTCATATATTCATATTTCATATATTCTGTGAAGATCAGATTAGAATACCGGTGAGCATATATGAATTAAATACAGTTGCATATAATATTGCATTTGCATCACTTCTATATATATATTACAAGAAATAGAAATCCGATATACCAAACTACTTTTTAGCAATGGAAGATTTTTTCATTGATGATTTGCTAACAACTGAAAATCTCGGACACTTTAGTACAAGCCAAATTCTCTTTGCAAAAATAGACTTATAATTGTTCAATCGTTTTAGCTGATTCTCAAATAGAAATAGTAGTCGAAAAGATTTAATATTATTTTAAATTCTTATATCACAAATTCCCAAAAAACCGCTCCTACTTCGATTATCATTTATTTCGTTCATTACAATATTTTCTAACTAGTTTGGTATAAAAATTTAAAAATATCGATCATATGAAATGCAATAAAAAATGTAAAACAAAAGAAATGTAAAATTGATAAACGTTGAGGAGATTAAAGCATGATTGATTGGCATGATTGAAAATATATTACCTACTCAATCAAAATAGTCATGCAATATAAAGAATATTCTCCATCTCAATAAAAAGATAAAAAAAGTTTCGAAAAAATCTCGATTTCTATCTAAGCACATATACTCTGAATAAAGAAATACTAATTATTAATAACTTCTTTTGTTTGAACTATTTTTATTTATCGTTATTTATATTAATTTTTTTAATTTTTTGTACAAGAAAGTTTATACTATTGAATAAATTATTATTTAAAAAAATAACTTTTTATTTTTCAATATGTAAGAATCTGAAAACTGAGCTAATTTTATCCTTTCCATGCGTTCATTATCATGCGTATATACATGTACCATAACTCGTCTCGTAAATATATTTCTGAAAATGTAAAGAACAATGTAAATAATAAAATTATTGAATATACAAGTAAAGATAAAAAAAAGCTTAGAATAATGATGAGAATTTAATTTCAAAAATAAATATGGAAAATTTCGAATTGAGTGAAATATTCTCAATATTCTCATAATGAAGAAAGAAATTGAAATTCATAAAATATGTATTTGACGATCAAAAGTCTGAAATGAAAAAGAAAAAAAAATAAAGATGGATTTCGTTTTGATAAACTTCGAATAATTTCAGTAAAAGATGATTATTCATAACATAGATATAAAATAATAGATATCGGATATAAATTGAAGATTTGACATGATCGATGTTTGAATTAGTTTAAACTATATTATTCTTTGAAATATTCATAAAGTAATTGAAAAATGCCAAATAAAATAAAATGAAAAACAAACATAACTTATATTAGAATTTATTTAATAGATAATTTATTTAATAGCAGCAAAATTCTCTCTATCAAATTATTTTCTTATGTTAAAATATTAAAATTTGAAAATTACTTACTAACGTATAATAATATACTGTCTTGAAAAAATTTGAGATTTTCATAAAAATTTTTGTTGATATTTTGTGTTTTAATAAAAAAAAAATATGATCAACAATGACAACTGGAAAAAAATAAGCATGTTTCTTTTGATTTATTCTGATTTTTATATAAATTATTGGCAAATACTTTAATTTATTTAAAAAAATGCTTTTTTTCTCAATACATTGAAGTAAAATGCCAATAGATTAAAACTTATTTATTTAATTCAATAAAAAGTATATATTAATAGAAAACGATATATAAGAAAAAATATAAGAAAATAAAAAATCGAATAAAAAACCAATGAAGATAAAAAAGAAACTGACCTGCTGCGAGAGCATTAAGAAATAAAAATAAAAGTGCAAATTCTATATTCTTTACAAAATTTTATTAGATGAGTTAGCAATAATAATTTAACTAAAAGCGATTTAAATCCTTCTGATTAGAAGAAGAAAAACTGGAATTTATATTGGAAAAAGTGATGCTCCAATTCTTAAAGATATTAGTTTATATATATACTAAAAAAAAAAAATAATAATAATAACAAAACATAATTTTAATAAGGAGAAAGAGTTTACAAGATACAAATGCGATTAATTTCAATTTTTTATCTTAATTTACGAACATCTATTGTTCAAAAATGATCTATACTCATTATGAATGTACTATGATGAAATGATTCATATTTTAATCTAGTTCTAAACATGCTAGAACAATATGATTTAATAATTAATAAATCAATAAAAAATAGCAAACAGAAAATGTCCTTCGATCTTCTGCATTAGCATTAAAAAATAAAAGTAGAACTGCAAATTTTATATGCCTTTGTGAATTTTTCTTAAGAATAATAATTTAACTAAAAATGATTTAAATCCTTCTAATTAGAAGAGGATGAAAACAAATAATTTGGATTAATTTTTATTAATTGGAACAAAAACTAAAGAGATTAACATAGATGAAACTGGACTACAGTTATAACAATAAAATGATGCAACAAAAGAATTTAAAGAATATTCAAATTCTTATTAATGCCAAAAAAAATGAAATTATTAGTATTATCGTTTGTTATAATATGGAATACAATTTTTCTTTATCATATTATCTTCTAAAAACTATTAAAAATAAATTTTTATATATCGATATAACTATATAACTATGTAACTTTCGTGTTACAAATAATTAATTTAAACAAACATACATAATGATGTAGACTTTTTCAATTGTTTTTTGGTTTTTGTGCTTTCGATCAGTTTGTTCATTATATCATGTATATTAACATATTTGAATAACATAATATTTAACAAGACTAAAATTAAACATTTAAATGTTATAATTTTTTTTATTTTTGAATTCAAATTTAAAAAACTAATTTTAAATATCTTGTAGTTATTATTTGATAGATATATGTTTTAATACTTCGTGATTTTTTCTTATAAAAAAATTGTGAAAGTAAAATTTGAATATTTTTGATCGTTGGAAAATCATTTTTTCCATAAATAATAATATTGTATTATTATTAAAATCTAAAGCTCTATCGTTGCTAACTGAATTAGAAAATTCAAAAGAAATAATTAATATATTAAGTATATTAGAAAATATAATTTTGATAAAAAATTATCAAAATTAATAAAAATTAATTATAAACAAAATTATTATTGACAAATTGTTTGGAAGAAAATTTAATCTTTTAAATACTTAATTTATATATTATATATATCATACCAATGAAAAATAGAAATGTAATAATGTTCTGATTACCTGGATATCCCTTATTATAAATTTAAATTGGTTAATATAAACATTCAATATTCATTAGAAATTTGAATGAATGATATATATAATAAAAAAAATTTCTAATTGAGAATAAATAGATATGTATGGTGGCAGAAGGGATAAGATAAGAAATAATAATCAAACAATGAGGTGAAAATAAAAAAGAAAAAGATAAAATAGAAAAAAGAAATGAATGAAGTGACATATTCATAATCGTTCAGATGAATAGAAGAAAAGGAAAAAGCAAGTTTATAAATTAGCCAATAAATAGAATTAATGGTAAGAAAAAGAGGAAAAGCGAATAAATTTTATTTAAAAGAATTATCACGAACGTCGAATTTAAGAATTAATTAAGAATTAATTAAGAATTATCAATACGACGAAATTAAATTTCAAAAAATACAATATATATTTTAAATATTATTGTACATAAAATAGTATTGTATGAAAATCTTTAAATAAAATGTATTATTTCTTTATACTTATAATTAAAAAATGTAAAATTTATGTTAAATTATATTAAATTATGTTAAGTATATAACATAATTAAGTTATATTAAAGTAAGTTATATTAAAAATGTTAAATTTATTTTCATGAAAAAATTATGTAATTATTTATAAATTATTCAAATCCATATTGATCAAATATATTATTACTATTGAAAAGAAACCATAAAATGATTTTCGAAATATGTTAAAACAAAATATATTATTATTGAACTACAAAATAATTTTCAAAATTCATAAAAAATATTTTATTGAAATAAAAATAAATTTAAAAAAAAAAACAAATCGTGTGAAAAAAAAATTAATACTACCAGAGAAAGAATAGAATAAGAATAAGAATACACTATAAAAGAAAAATGTTTGTTTGATTTAATAATTTATATAACTTATATAATTTTTGAAAATATTTAATTTATATATGGAATCATGATTAAAATTAAGAAAATGTAATAAAATATTTAAAAATATTCTAAAACAAAATTTGAAACAATCTGTAAAAAAATTAAAAATGGCATCAGTCTATTATTTTTAGTAGGATAACGATCCCAAATATTTTTCATATTTAATACAATTATAGTTGTATAATATTTCAAAAATGTCAAAAACTTAATCACTCTTACAACTACTTGAACAAACTACTTTGAACATATATAATGCTAATCCATATGAATTATTCGTGAATAATTTTATTCAACATCTTAAACTTTTGATCGATTAACATCGATTAACTCACTGAAATATCCATCACAGTCAAATGAGTCCAAATTCCATGCGATTTTATAGCATAGCTCGTAGTATCATATAATTGTATAATTGTTGATTCGAGCGAATCGAAAATCATTATTTTTTCTTTAGATATAATATAATATAAATAGATAGAAATAAAAAAAAAATTTTTTTTGTATTCTCTTCGTTTCTTTCAACTTTTCTTTTCAATAAGATATTATTTAGTGTTTATCAATCGAATATTCTATAGTTATAGTCATAATATTAATAGATTTCCATATATTCCATAATTTTTTAAAAATAAAAGTTTTAAAGAATTTATTTATGATTTAGATTATCTACATACATTATCTATTATATATTAGCATAATAAGCATATCCTAAATAATTATAATTATAATAAAAGAAATACGGAATAAAGAAGTAAATATTTTAAAAAATATGTTCAATTTAATACAACATTTTGCAATTATATGTGATGTCTCTATGGAATCAATAGTTGCGATCAGTTGTTATGATATTATGTCGCTAGATGACTCTAAACACTATGCAATTCTCGTTAGTTCGATGATACGCTATCGTGTATAATTGCCAATTCAATTCAATTCAATGAGAATGAGAGTCAATATTTTCCCTTCAAAGAAAGAATGTAATAATAATTTCTTTTTAATTTTTTTTTTCATTTTCACATATCTGATATTAATACCTTTTTCATTTTCAAAAACAAAGATCTTACTTATTACTGTTTACCAATCGAATATTATATATAATATCAGTTTATACATATCATCAATAATAAGCATACAACTATAAAATATAAATAAAATAGGATAGAAATAACATTCAATGAATTTTTTTGTTCCAGATTTCGATTTAAGAGTCAAGAACTGTCATTTTAATATCATTCTCAATGTTATTAATTCAGCACAAAAATAAGATTACAATATTTGTAATGGTTAGAATTTAAACTTTATTTTAAATATAAAACTATAAATAAAATATAGAATAAATTAGCTTGTAACTTAAATAACTATAAAATTTTTTGTATAAATATATCCTTAGTAGATTATTATTAAAGCAATTAATGATTTTGTATAGGAAAAATTATACTTTTATTTATTCCAATTTTAATACATCATACTTGCAAAAATAAATTTTTATTTTTAAAAATATTATTAAATTATATAATGAATATAATTTCTCGATACAAAATTTTAGAGATATTAAATTTTCTGAACTTATCTAAACAATGTCTAATGTCCAATGAATTTTTCCACGCAAAATTAGCCATTTTTAAAATATTATTTTTTAAATTTTCAAGCTAATCGCAACAAATATGTATATTAATGTATTATTTCGCCTTCATTATATATATATATATATAACATTCAATATATATAATATATATTATATATATTATTATATATTTATATTATATTAT